TCCTCCCTCACCCATCGTCCAGAATGATAAGAACAGAACTGGTGAGAATTAAAAGCGAGATGGGAGATAGCAATACATGAGTGGACAAACTCAGAACCCAGTATCCTTGCTAAATGCCCTCCCTTTTCACAAGCTGTAAAAGGCGGACATGCTCTGCTCCTCCAACTCAGCTAGCACGCCTCACAACAGACACCACTACTTTTGGCTCCTGTCATTGATTTAGGCCTCAAATCTTTGCTTCTCATTTTCAAGCAGCTCAAGTTCTGTTTCTTTTCTGTTTGCCTCAGTCTCAACAGGCCCAGCATCCAGATGGGTGAGCATGGCTGAGGAGAGGTTGTTGCTGATGTCTCTCCTTCTGTTCCTGGGCTGTCATGAGCACATACCCAAGTTTTTCACAGCTCATTTGAAAGTTAGCACGTCTGCCCTTGCACAGGCAAACCGTGAAGAGCTGGGGTCCCCTGGTGTCCTCTGTTCATTATGGTTTATGCTTTAAAGTGTCAATCCTGAGAACTTGTGCAAAATTAATTCCCCAGGAAAATTTTTTCAAAGGAATGGTCTGTGAATAACCTTTAGGATTAGGACACAATGTTATTTTATAATTGAAAAAATGTCCCAAATAATGAATAAATCACATGACAGAGAGGAGCCATCATGGGCTCTCAATTTTCCCACCTAATTCAATAATACAGACACACATTTGAATGACAATGATATAGTCTCATAATTAAAGGGCACAAAACTTATTTATTAATTCATGGTTACAGTACACTACCATTTTATTCATGGTATAGAAACATAGCACATATTCATTTATTTTGTTGTTCGCTTCCACAAAATTTGAAATGTGAGGATTTGCAGGTGAGAATTGAACTACTTCTTAGATCTCCACCAGTTAGTACGTAAGGAACCATGGACCAAGTATGTAAACTCTGTGATAATCCTAAAAACAGCAAGAAGCGAACTCCACTCAGAGTCGTGATGTGTAGAAGCCTAACTTTAAGAAATGTAAGGTGTCAACAAAATGCAGGTGAGAGATTTGTGAATTGTTTTCTCTAGTAAGAGTAAGTGCAACCAAAGTTCTACTTCTGCTATCGTTTAATGTAACATAAGTTATATCTCAAAATTAATGCACAGTTAAAATTCAATAAGAGATTTTTTAATCATATTGGAGTAAAGGACAATTACTTAAAATATATCCTTTAAATTTACATTTAAAATGTAGAATGTTATTCTCATTTATTTTATTTGCCACTGACAAGCAAAAATATCCTTGAATGGGAACCTTTACTCATAATGTTGCCAAAGAATACAGCAACTATTAATAATCTAAACATTTTGTACATACGTGCAAAATAAGTTATGCACCTGTTCAAGAAGTATACCATACTCAATCTTATCTAGAAAAAGTTTACACTGAAATAAAACTTTGAAAATAATAAAATTTGGGGTTAGCAAGACAGCTCAGCAGTCTAAAACATCTGCTTAGGCAAGCATAGGCAAACTCAGGGACTGAAGTTCAATCCCCAGCACCACATGCCATGTCAGCCTCACCCTGAGGGCAGACTGAGCTGGCCACAAAAAAATTCTGATCAAGGAGATTATGGGGCCACAGAGGAAAGTGATTGATGATGTAGAGTGTGCGTAAGGAGAGTTACCTAGAGAGAAAACATTCTCTCAGGCTTTCACAGAGAGCAAATTGGTCAAGCAATGGCTGTGACTCATCCTCATGGCTGACACTAACAAAGATCTACAAACTGTGATACAGGGTTTCAAGATAAATCTTGAGAGGATTTGACTGACTTTATCAGATACAGAAGTTACATTTCTTGTTATATAGGTCTTGCTTTATCTTGGTTTTAACCATCCAGAAGAAAAGTTTAAAAACAAGGTATAAAAACTAAAGCCATATTTATATGCTGAGTTATAAAAGGCTCATGTCAGCAACTTCTGTCATTGCCAGGCCTATGGATAACCCACTACTATTATGGACTACTGGACTATATTGGAATATTTTGCTGAGTTCACGCACCTACAATATTTAAATGGAAATATAATAGCCATCTCTGACAAAAGCAGCAAAAAAATGGGATATAAATGAAGGATCATTTTGTATCTATATAAACAAAATAGGATATACATATATACAGCTACTTTCTTTTAATTCAATGAGAAAAAATATTTATACTAATAGAGTTTGGACAGGACATCATGTCTGCATCTTGTACTATGACTACCACGAAGACAACAACGTGCAATGTATTAATTATTGAAACTGTCTTCTTAATCAGTTTTGAAACTTTCTCATTGCTATTTGTTTCTCAATAAAATTAATTAAAAAAGAAAAATAATAATAAAGATCAATCAAAGTTAAGTTCCCCAATCAATGATTCTGATGGTAGTATACAAACATCTTTATGATAAAATGTTTTATTACAAACTGAATATTTGGGCCAGGGAGATGGCTCAGTAGGATAAGCGCTTGAGTGGCAAACACAAGGATCTCAGTTCAATCCCCAGCTCTGCCAAAAAAATACAAAAACAAAAAAACCCTGAATATTCATTAGGTTTGCTTTTTGATATGTCAAATAATCTAAAGTCTACACCTAACTACATCAAAACTGTATATTTGACTTGCTTATGGCATTATATTTCAAATCTAAATCTTGATATAAGTATCTAAGAAAAGATAATATTAAATATTTTGGTAAAATGTTAATTTAGCAAAACAGTTGCATAGACCTTATTTTGTAGTTCACTGAGGTATCCTGTCTCATTTTGCAAGTGAAATTGCTGACTATAGTTAATAATTAGTGCTAGACACATTCTGTTGAAGTCAGGAAAGGTATTTTCTTTATGAGGACAGCAAATACC